CTTCTCTCACGTCAAATTCTATCTTGTGATCTGATTGAGTGATCTAACAAAACACAGGACAGACTAACTCACTTCACTGCCCAGTGGGTACAGAGGACATCATCTTGGGAGGCATGAGAGGCACAGTAATCCCTGTCATAAGGGGCAGCTAAATTACTGAAGATTTAACCAGCAGTGACCTGGAAAAACTTTCTGGTAGAGGGGACACCATTGCAGGTATGATGGTCCAAGCAATTGAAAGATGAGAAAGAAAAGTGCCTACAACAGTAGTGAAGTTGAATGGTTACTGCTGAATTGAACTGCTGCCCTGCACAAGGACAAGGAGAAACTGAGGGTTATTTACAATCAGTTAAAGGTTAAAAAGAGGTCCTAATCTCCTACAGAGGCAGAGTAGACACAGCTAAGCAGCTGGCTGAAGATCTAATAGTTAGAATGTCAGAGTTTATTTGAATACTTAGTTAAAGCAGATCTGCTATACTTAGGTCAGGGTCATGGCTTGGAAAACCTAGGACCTGGAGATGTAAGATGGAGACAGGTGGATGGATGTCAGAAGATACTGCGTCTGCAGATCCCCTGAACTGTCAGATTTGGAGAAGTAGTTCTTACTGTTTAGTAAAAACCGGCCCCTTCTCCCATGCTGAAAGGTGCTGTAGAGCCATTTCCCCTACAACACACAGGTGCCTCCTTGAGAGATATTCCCACCTCCTCAATTGACAGCCAGGCCAATACCTCGGTTAGGAATGCCCAGGGTCTGACAAGGGAGGAAGAAAACTCTGTACTGAAAATGCTCTAAGAATAAGTATGTGCTGACAGAGCAGTGCTTCTGTTTCTGGCATTGGGTTTTGAGGGTACTTGAAGGAAGCAGGGCTGAAAGGAAGACTGAATAAATAGGAATTCATTGACTTTCTCAAGATATGATATTTAGCATGCTGGCAAGGACCCAAGGAGATTGGGCAGACTTGCTACTAGGGTGGCTGTTAGCCTGAAGAAAGCAATAGCCAAGTCTGAGTGAAGCAGAATGCCCTGTGTGTCTTGGTAGAGTGGAGAAAGACATAGAGGGGCTGCGGCACGTGGAATGGATGTTGTGTGAAGCTGGAAGACTCATTAGGGGATGCATTGTGTAGGGTGGCCCAGAGGACATTCCACTTATCCAAGCTACTGGGTGAGCTGGTGGCTGGGGCTCAAACATAAGTGAGAAGTTCAATACTGGCTCTTCTCTGTGGGTGAAGGCTGACCATAGGAGCAGCCACAGAGCTAGGTTCTTGGAGTGAAGCCGCCCTGGGAGGAAACAGCGCCAGCCCTGAGGTCTGGAGAAGTGAGGGTGAGAAAGAGAATATCTGAAAGTAGCTGCTTAATTGTCACCTTTCTAGAAATTCCTCTCCTTAGTAGGCACTTACCTTGATACTTCCAAAATTGGTGGTCTGGATTGCTGCGACTGGTTTCCGGTATGAAAAGCAGGTGGACATTGTCTCAAGGCAATAGTGGGAAAGGCAGGGTGTGGGGAGGATGAAAGAGTAAAACGTAGAAAGTGTTTCTTTACGTGTTTTCTTACTCCACGCCAGGCTTCAGACACCTGCGCTCCCTACTGCTGCAGCTCAGCATAGCCTCAGTCTCCTGGTGTCTCGCGTTTATTACAATTTCCTGGCCTAGAATTCATGTTTACTCTTTATTCTACAGTTTATATGATTGGGTTGATTTGGAGGGAGTAAGTATCCTATGCTAGTTCACTGTTTTGGCAGAAACTAAAGCATACATATTATATATACACATATATACCTGCACATATATATGTATGTGCGTGCACATAAAATATGCCATTTTTGAAAAAAGTGGGTAAACCCTTTATAAGTGAATAGATTGTTTATATAAACAGAACAACATGAAAGGATATACAAAACTGGAAACTTTGATTAATTTAGGAGAAAATTGGAGAGAAATTGCCAGATTTTTCTTTGTATTGCTCTATGTTGCAACACAGCCCATGTAAATTATGGCTTGAAATGAGATGACAAAAAATATATTTGAAAAATAGCATGGACCAGGAGATGGCAGCAGAGTAACACATTTGGTCTAAGTTTTTTAGTACCTTGTGGTGGTGCTTTTTTTCCTTTTTAATTCAAGTATAGTTGACATACAATATTATATTAGTTTCAGGTGTACAACATATTTATTCAACACTTGTTGAATAAATTATAAAGTGATTTCCACAGTAAGTCTAGTAATATCTGTCACTGTACAAAGTTATATTATTGACCGTATTGCCTGTGATTACATCACCTTCTTGCTCATCGCCACAGCCCCCTCCCACTGGCCACCACAACAACATTGACATATTGCACAAGCCTGTTCTTGCTTTATTTGGGTTGGCTTCTTCCTTAAAATATCATTTGATATTTTCAACTTTGTGACTTCGTCACTCTGATACTTCTCCATTACTTAATACTCTTTTCTTTGATTGTCATTAATATACCTTTTCGGGTTATAAGAAATTCCCTGTTTATTTAAAAAGCAACAAACATTTTTTTTTTTATTCTTTACTATACCATTAGCTGGGAAAGTTCTGGCAGCTTTGGAAGGTTGAAAACCGATTTCTGACCACTTCCATCTACCTGGGAGCCTCTGGTGGGCCTGCTGCACCTCATGCAGATTCTCCTCCCCACCACGGACCAGTGTTCTAGAGGAAGAAGAGTCTGGAAGTGGTTGTACCCCACCTGACCAGCCATGGTCCCCTAGGGCTCCTACTGTTAACATCAGTTATCAAACACATTTATACCTGTTTATGTGGTCTTGAAAACAGGACTTGGCTTGGGCTTTAATCACAGTTGTATACCCAGTGTCTAGAATACTCAATATCTGACACAGAGACTCAAAAATGTTTATTCAATGAATAAGTGATTATGTAAGCCAGAGATTTTTCAACTGTCTGCCACAAGAATGTTTGAAACATGCAATACCTGATTACTTAGTCAGGGGCACTGACCTTTTTCCCTTTAGACTGTCACATAAAAAAATTACAATAGTCTGCCCAGGCCGGTTTGGCTCAGCGGTTAGAGCGTCGGCCTGTGGTCCCTAGAGACCCGGGTTCAGTTCCCTCTAAGGGCGCGTACCTCGGTTGCAGTTTGTCCCCGGCCCTGATCGGTTGTGCGGGTGGCAGCCACTCGATGTGTCCCTTTCACATCGATGTTTCTCTCTCTCTCTCTGTTCCTCTCTCTCCCTCCCACTCTACCTGAACAAAAAATGGAAAAATGTCCTCGGGTGAGGATAAAAAAAAAAAAAAAAAATTACAAGAGTCAACACAACAATAGCCGTGTGGTGTGAATGAGTCAAAATTATACCTATTTTTTTTGTCAGATTGGCAAAATATATAATTTTTTTGGTGTGCTGCAGAATTTTAGTAATGAATTATGTGTTCCATGAGAGGAAAAAGGTTGACAATCGCTGATATACGTAGTTGCGTAGAATTTTCCGGGTCAGTAGTGTCCAATACAACTTTCTTCAGTGGTGAAAATGATGTATATCTGTGCTGTCCAGTGTGCCACAGGTGGCTGTGTTCATAGCAGTGCTTACTATTTACAATAGCTAAGATCTGGAAATAGCCCAAGTGCCCATCAGTAGATGAGTGGATAAAAAAGCTGTGGTACATATACACAATGGAATACTATGTAGCTGTAAAAAAGAAGGATCACCCTTTGAGACAGCATGGAGGAACCTGGAGAGTATTATGCTAATTGAAATAAGTCAGTCATAGAAAGACAAGTATCACGTGATCTCACTGATATGTGGAATCTAATGAACAGAGTAAACCGATGAACAAAATAAATCCGGAGACATGGAAGTAGGGGACAGACTGACAAACCTCAGAGGAAAGGGGGGGGGGCACAGGAAGAGATAAACCAAAGAACTTATATGCATATATGCATAACCATTAGGCACAGACAATAGTGAAGGCAGGGTGGGTGGGAGTAGGGAGTAGGCGGTCAGTGGGGGATAAAAAGAGGGCCATCTGTAATACTTTCAACAATAAAGATAAATTTTAAAAATGTGATTAGCTTGATGGAGGAAATGAATTTTTAATTGTATTTAATTTAAATTAATGTAAATCTAAATGGCCCCATCTGATTAGTGTTGACCATACTGAACATTTCACCTTTTAGTATATAATGTTACTATGTGATTTTCTATTCTCCACTCTACACTGTGAGTGATTGATGGACTGGACCATTCTACCTCAGCCAAATACATAATCCTCTTTCAAGTAGTATCTCTTTATGCATGTTAAAGATACTAAATAGAGGATGTATGGTACAATTTTGCAGAATTAGGTATTTGAGAAAATTTTCTCTCTCTAGATATGTAGCTATATACATATCGATATAGGTGTCTCTAACTCTCTCTCTCTATCTCTATAGATGATAGACAGATGGATAGACAGACGGAGAGATGGATCATTTGCTTATAGCAGCTCGGCCTTCAAACAGCTTCCTTCCTCCAGCCAGGTTCAGCTTCCAAATGGTCATAATTTGCCTAGAACTGATTAGACATGAATGTGTTCATGATGGTCTCTTAGCATCCTCAATGTATCAGCATTATAAAAAGGGGGAGAAGAAAGATATTTCCAAACTCATGTAAGGGAATTATGGTGCAAGATTTTTCACACTGATTTTTTTCCTTTGACTATAAATCCCATGGCAGTGGTTCTCAACTGAGGGTGATGTTGCCTCTCAGGGAACATTCTGCAAAGTCTGGATTCATTTTTGTTTGTTACAGTTTGGTGGGGGTTACTGCTGGCATCAAGTGTGTAGAGAGAAGAAATGCTACTAAACCTGTTACAAAGCAGAGGATAGCTGTGGGTCCTTCATGCGCCGCACCCCCCAGAGATTTATCTCTGACAAAATGTCATTAGTACCAAGGATGAGACACCCTGAAGTATAGTGATGACTCAAAAATGATGAGTTTGGCTTTATTATTATAAATATATATTTAATGTATACAATAAAATATTATGTGGGCAAGAGAGACTCTCCCTTGATATAAAACTAAAAAAATCTTAACATTGGCGGTTATTTCATTAACTAAATTAATTGTAAAAGGAGCGGGGAGTAAATAAAGGTTTAGATGCACAGAAAGAGTTTGAGTTTTGTTGAACATTAGTAATGTCATGTGCAGTGCCACAAAAATGCATTTAAATATATATGAAAATGACTTAGAATAAAATTGAATCATTTCAAAGAGGTTTTCTTGATTAATTGAATATTGTCTATAAATACCATTCTTCAAAGATTGCCTAACTTTTTAACAGAAAACTGAAATATTATACAATAAGGTCTCTCCCAGAACCTTGTATCAAATTACCCATGAATGTCTAATTTTATATTGGCTTCTTGTGTAAGTTATTTATGAATATCTCATTTATATTGACATCTCATTCTGTGGGTTTCTTAATTATTCCAAAATTGATTGAAAATAAAACTGTTTAGAAAATAAACTGCATTAGGAAATTATTAAACAGAACTAAAATGTTAATTTACACCAGGATTGGAACTTCTCCCACTTTTAGAGAAGAAAAAACTCCTTCTCACCCAGTCCTTGCCTCTTCTTATTCCCACCTACGAAAAGGGCCAAGAAACTTAAATTTTCTGAATACAAAAAGGCATTTTTCCATACTTTAGAACAAAATCCAATGAAGGAAAATATTTTCAGTTCTCCTGCTGTCTGACCCAAGTATTTAGTTATTGTCCCAAAGTAAAGATTGGTGTAGTTGTTCGAAGAAATTAAAATCTGCAATGTTGGGTGTGGATATAAATGACACTTTTTTCTCTTAAATTTCAAAGAGAGGTTAAAAATGCATCTCAGGGCAAAGGACTCACAATAGTGCCATCTCTTAAATCCTAGTTTCTTTTCTAGTGCCCCTCCAGTGTTAGCATTGGCCAAAACTAATTCCCTTAGTTTGTCTAGGACGTGGACTTACAGATCCTCAATGAGAATTATTTGATGAGGAAGGTAAAAACTGTGGAGTCAGGGAAGGGCAGTGTGTTCTGTCAGGACAGCAATAGAAAATGCTTCACCAGTTGGTACTTACCTGCTTACACTGCTAGATTGTGCTAAACTAAAAAGTGTGTAGTAGGGACTGAAAGGTGAGCAGGAGGTCATCAGAGACACTTAGCAGCAATGGTGGATCTTTGAAGAGTTGACAGTGTCTTGTATGTTCATGGTCAGCAACACACTTCAGATTATGTGAAAGAAAGCCTACCTTTTCCTCATATCTAAGGGAAGAGTTATCAGACCATGCTATTTGCATCTTGAACTCAATGACATTATACATGGCAACATATACTAGACACAATTTGCTAGAGACCACACAGGACATTTACATTTTGGAGGTAGATGGTTGTTGCATTAGATGTTTGTTTTAGACTTAATCCAGTCCCGATAACAAGTCACTTTTGTATAAATTCCAGGCTTGTTTTCTTTACCACAGTCTATTCCCCAGCTTACTATTCCAACAAGATACCAGATGTTTCTAGCACGTGCTGTAACCAGAGGTCCCCCAGAGTCACCCTAAAGAAGAAGAAAAAGTATTGTCAATGTAATAAATAAAGGAGTGTCAGAATGACAGGTAACCAGCATCTGAATATCTAATAAATTAATATTTTGAAGTATGTGAAACTAATTCTATTTTTACTATTAATATGATCATTGTGCTTATTACTTATTATCTCTGTTTATCTCTAATAATGTCTTTACCTGAAAGGTGATGTGAATAAAGCTGAGGGTTTAGTTTTATCCTTGTATAGTTTTTTAGTTTTGCTCTATCTAAAGAGAGAATGCAGAAGACCTTGTATTCCAGAATATGTAGCCAAATCCTTGTCTTTTGTTCACTGCTTTTAGTTATTTATGTGCTGTGGTTAGACTACAAATTTATCATGGACTTGTGCTTTTAAAAATGTTTATGTTTCCTTCATTAACTGCCATAGTACCTTGCAATTCACACACACAAAATTGAATGAATAAGTGAATGAATACCAATGGCAGATCAATGGTAGCACCTTTACATACAAGAAAAGCACTTATATGTGTGAAAGTCTCAAAGTCATTCCTAATCCTTCAAGAATTGTGAAAATGTTAGACCCAGTTTCAAGTGCTAAAGGTAAAATCTTTATTAATTTTTATATTTATTTTTCTTCTTTCAAATAGCCAGACTTTAAAAGTGGCAGCATGGATGGACCTGTAGTGTATCATGCTAAGTGAAATAAGCCAGTCAGAGAAAGATAAGTACTACATGATCTCACTTATATGTGGAATCTAATGAGCAAAACAAACTAACCAGCAAAATTGAGACAGACTCATAGAAAGAAGGCTGACAGCTGTTGAGAGGATGGGAGTTGGGGGGAGGGGTCATAGGGGCTGTGTAGGGATTGAGGCAAAAAGAGAAAGAGCTCATAAACAGGGACAACAGTGTGGTGGTTGCTGGGGTAAAGAAAGGCGAGAGGAGGTAGAGAAGGCTATAATGGGTATAAATGATGGAAGGAGACTTGACATGGGGTGGTGAATACACAATACAGTGTATAGTTGGTATGTTGTAGAATTGTGCACCTGAAACCTATATAATTTTGTTAACCAGTGTCACCCCAATAAATTCAATAAAATGGAAAAAATAAAAGCAATATTCTCTTTAAATGCTTAATGGTTAAGACAAATTTTTTCTAACCAGCATAATTCTATCTGGATGTACAATATTTTTTCTTTTCTTTATTGATTTTTTAGAGAGAGAGGAAAGGAGAGGGAGAGAGATAGAAATATCAATGAGAGAGGACATCGATAGGCTACCTCCTGCATGCCCCCACACTGGGGATCGGGCCCACAACTGGGGTATGTGCCTTGACTGGGAATTGAATTGGCAACCTCTTGGTGCCAACGCTCAACCACTGAGTCACACTGGCAGGGCTGGATGTACACTATTTAAGGTCAACGGTTCAAGCACCCGCTGTGTGACACTCTATTAAGCATGGAGATATCTGCCGATCCCATCCCACAGTGCCTTACAATTAGTAGGAATTAGATTCTAACTATTGATTGTAACTGTGGCTTTGAGCAATGATTGTGTGGCTTCCTGACTTAGTTTCTCTTTTCTACTGCCACTCCTTTTCTCTAGTCAACACCCTAATGTGCAGCTGGTAGTCATTTTTACATTTACATGTAGACATTAATATGAGTATTTCTTATGGTTCTTCCATTTCCTCTTTTCACACTCTGCTTTCTCCTCCATGACTTAATTTTATGGACTTCCATTGATGTTGTCATGAAACTCATCTTTATTCAATAGATTCATTTTTGTGTATTTGAATCTATTCTTACCTCACAGGCATCGAGTTTTCCTGACAAGAATCCAGCACATATCATTCCTGATGACACAGCCCCACCATATACATTAATTGTATTACATATGTCATTACTTATGATCTCTATTTCAACTTGTCGTAGAGTGTTGGGAAAGGGACCTAAAGAAGAAAAACAAATAAATAGGTGAAGAAATTCTAAATTCTTGTATTTATGATAGTTAATTGTGTCTTGCAAAGGGTAGTTCAATGGCCCTGGCTGGTTTTGCTCAGTAGTTAGAGCATCGGCCTATGGACCAGAGAGTCCTGGGTTCAGTTCCCGCTAAGGGCACATACCTCAGTTGCAGTTTGTCCCTGGCCCCGGTTGGGGTCGTATGGGTGGCCACCACTCGATGTGTCTCTCTCACATTGATGTTTCTCTCTCTTCCCCCCTCTCTCCCTCCTACTCTATCTGAAGATAAATGCAAAAATGTCCTCAGGTGAGAATAAAAACACAAACAGTAGTTCAATAATAAAACATATATCTGGAAGTTGTGGGACTCTGGGCTTGATGACAGCACTCAAGGTCAAGTTATATTTCCTGGGTGCCTTCTAGCTTTCTATGTGTTAGGTTTCAATCTTGTCATGTTTACCTCCACTGTTTTATTTACTCTTTGTGAACAACTCCTAAAGATAGATATGAATATTTTTTTTTATCCTCACCCAAGGACTTTTTTTTTGCATTTATCTTCAGATAGAGTGGGGGGGAGAGAAGGGGGAAGAGAGAGAAACATCGATGTGAGAGAGACACATCAAGTGGCTGCTCCCCACATGACCCAAACCGGGGCCTGGGACAAACTGCAACCAAGGTACGTGCCCTTAGTGGGAGCCGAACTCGGGCCTCTTTGGTCTGTGGACCAACACTCCAACCACTGAGCCAAAACAGCCGGGGCTGAATATTCTTTTATTCAGTTGAATAAACCAAAACTCACCTGATTATGAGTAGTAATCACATAGCTAAATGGGAATAACATTTGATTTAAACCCAGGACATTTATCACCACCTGGGATAATCCATGACAATTTACCTAATTTACCTGGAAATCTGCCTTATCACTCTTCAAAGGACACACTTATATTTGAAATTGAGAATCCTTTAGGAAAAGAAACATAGAGCATCTACTATCAGGAAATAAGTTCAATACTAAATAGATGAAATACTATTGCTTCATAAAAAAGACCATGTTTACTTTTATAATATTTAGAAATGCTATCAAAAATAAAACCAAGGTAAGTAACATATACCAGGATAAGAACTATATCATGTTTTATTAATAACCAAAATATTTATGATTTGTTATATTAAAAGTATTATTTAGTTGTATATAGTACAGTTTTAGTCAGTAAATTCCCCTCATTTTGCCTTAATAGCTTCTATTTTGAAGACTGTATTAGTTCTTCATATAAAGATGGTACTCTGATGATAACAGGTTCAAATACAAGTAAAAGGATGAAGGAGCACAGTGCTGCTGATTTGAGGAACAAGTCAGGTAATTATGTGCTAAGGGCTCTGGTTATGAAGGAAGCAGATATGAATTTGTACACTTTGAGCAACTGAAATGCTATTTGGCCTTGGGCAAGTTACTTAATCTTACTGAGCACCATTTTACTCACCGTTAAAAAGGAGAAAATGAAATCTATCTCACATATTTATGTGAGGGTTAAAAAAGAATGGATACAATCAGTTATGATAATACCTTATCCCATGTTCAGATTTCAACCAATGGAAGCTATTGGAGAAATAGGGTTGTATATTTAAAACCCTCATAGTCTAAAAGCTGCACTTCAATGTTAGTGACAGATGGTGAAAGCAAGAGCTTTCAGGGAAAAAAGATCTAGGTTACTAGGGCTTTTGTCATTCATCATAAATAAGCCTAATTCTCTGTTTTAAAATCAGGACGTTCACTTACCTAGAACTGACCATCTTGCTGGAAAACTAAGCCTAACTCCTCCATAGTCGTTCAAGATTTTCTAGGATCTGGTCCATTTCTTTATCTCAGTCACCATTTTTAAGCATGGGAAGGTCATTATATGACTATATTCTTTTTACTTCACCTCTGAGTTTGCTTGAAATGTTCCTAGTGATAAAATCTGCATACCATCTGCTCTTTATACAGCTTTTTAAATAATCCAAACTATTTGTGTTTGTATATCAGCAATATTCAGTACTATATCTTTTGCTGTGTCTAATTGGCATTTGAAATTTGTAGGTATTCACAGCCTTTAAACAACTGTATTCCAACTACTTTTAATTTCTATGTGCCCGTTTTTATTTTAGCTCATTGTTCTAGGATGCTAGTTTTAAATTGTAAATGCTTTTACTTATTTAAACTCAACTTTTAAAAAGTGAAGTGCTTAACAATATTGCAAGCTGTTTTACATTATCGAATGATTAAAGGAAGAAACTATCCAGAATAGAAAGTGTTTGTTAAACAAGCTGTCTGGTAATGATAAAGTGAGATAAATATTGTAAGGTAGGAGAAGAAAATCTGGGTAGTCCCTGTTGCAGTTTCAAAGTGCAGAAACAAACAAAAAAAAAACATAAGCAAATATCTAATACTTTACCTTAGTCTGATGTCTAACAAATTCATAATGTTATTACTGAAAAGTATGCAACTTGTTACAATAGATAGGTCAATGTTCAGTAATCTGCACACTATTGGGCATTGAATAAATTATGCTAAAGTCACAAATCACTCCTAAACCACTAATCTGGAAAGGGGTGGTGCTTAGTTTAATTAGGTTCTAAAGGAGGTGTAATGGTCCTGCCCTAATGGTGGATGCTCTGTGTTTCTACTCCAATCATAAGTGGCTTGTCTAATCCCAAAGGATTTAATTCCCCTTCATACTTATCACCATGGCCTATAGAAGGCAGATCTCCCAGAGATGAGGAAAAGGACTTATAGGTTATAACAATGGCCTATCAATCTGGACCACATCAGAATTTTGGAGTGCATATTGAGGGAAAGCACACTTCTATAAAAATCAACTGATGAAGACTCGGGAGATAAAAGCTGTACTTCGAGCAAGAACATAAATAAGACTACAACTTCATAATAAGAGCCTGGAACAAGAATCGGAAATTCAAGGACAGATTAAACCGAGAGAACTGGAGACTCAGTATGTAAATGTCTATCTGCCATTTATCGTATATTATTAAGTACAGTAAAATATCATATTTGTCAACTTCATAAACTCAAAAAACTGTTTTGTAGATACATGGATCAGAGGGTCCCTATTTAATATTTAGCATCATGTTATTCAAATTGTTCTCTGAAGATTGTATATGTTTATTTACATGATCTATTACAGAAGCTTATCATTACTACTGCTCACAAATAACACTTTAAAAATTATGCATCCATAGCAGAATCTCTACATGTGAAAGACAGCAATGAAAGAAAAAAAAATCATGTGAAAAACTATGCTTTACCTATGCTTGAAAAGAAAGTTATAACTAGTTTTTAGTATAGCCCATGAATACAATAAATACAGATACTGTGTAATAGTAATAGCCAAAGTTTTCATATATATATTTTTTAACATATCTGGGTTTTGTTTGTTGTTTCTGCCATATTTTTCATGGGACATATAGATTTAATCTCACTTTCTATATTTTGATTGGTAGTTTATTTTATATTTCCATTCAAATGGAGATTTAATTTTTTTGCTTGGATGTTTTCCCTGAGATACTCACCATTTGATTTTAATGCTCCCCATCCAGTGACAAACACTTTATCCTTAGGCAAGACTTCAAAAGTGGCATCCGGGAGACAGACCCTGTGCACATCGTCGGAAAAGAGCACAGGCGTGGAGAGTCTCACCAGAGCGACGTCGTCCTCGTGCTTGTGGGCAGCATAGTTTTCATGAATGACAATTGACTGCACCCTTCTTCTTAATAGTGGATGGCTTAGAGTTGTTCCGAAACTAGCCATCCAGAGTTTGGGGTTTTTGTAACTGATCACAAATTATAAAAGGATTATGGTTGGTTCATTTCTGATCTAAAGTTACCCAGCATTCTGCATGAGCATGGGACACAGGGTGGGAGAAGGGCAAACTAAGGTGATGGTTGATTGGGGTCCTCCCACCTTCTCATTTGAGGCTTTCCCCCTAGTACTGCTTTGCATTCATTTAGCTGATGACAAATCCCTCCAGGAGAATTTGTAATTTTTAAAGGAAACACTATATTATTTGGTATTTTTGAAGAAAATATAAAGAAATAAAAATCAGAGTTATGTACTCATTTATACATACACACATATCCATGCACAGTTACATAAATATATGTATGTATAATTATGGAGAGAGAAAGGGAGGGATTGAGGGTGGAAGAGAGAAAGAGAGAGACAGAGGGAGAGAAGTTGAAGGCACAATTTAATGCATTGTTTTCTATTTCTTGCTTTTAGGTTAACATTTTACCCAGTATATTTGCCCATTGTATATTAATTTCACTAGAGGTACTGTATCTCTTTACTGTCTCCAAGTGTCCTATTGATTAAATTTTCAATGAACATATAAATAATAAAAGTAGAGCATCAAAGATATTCAAGTGAGATAATCGAATGTAAGTTTGTGTGTTGTTATACTATTAGCAGAGTTTTTAAAAATCCACAATATATCTCAGGAAAACTGGTGAGTATGTTTAAATTTTGATAGTGTTGTCTTGTTAGCTAAAGTTGAGATTGCTGGAGAATATATATTCAATTAGAGATAAAGATACTTTCTCTAATTTTTTTCAATTATTCAGTAATTGTACTTCTAAGCCTGCCAGAAGATCATGAGTACTATTGAGGTGGGCCTAAGATAATTAATAAAAAAGGAATGCAAATTACTGGAAGTGAAGGTGAGAAAAAGAAGTGAAATTGGTTACCCTGTTGGTACAGACTGAGGACTTACTTGTCAAAGCAATGAGCGGCTGTCAGGAGCCACTCCTCACTGATCAAAGTTGCCCCACAGAAATGGATGCCCTCCATTTGCAGGCTGGCTTGCCACGGCCAATCCGCTTTCCTTGCAATATAACCATCAGCAATTTTTTCCATGGATGGAGACTCCCTTCCCAAACCACAACCTGTCATAAGAGGATAAGATGAATATTAGAATTACCAATGCGTGTGTTTGGCACACAGTAAAAGATGGAAACATTCATAGATTTGCTTTACCTTAAAAAATTAATCAAAATTATATGATAGAATAATTTACATTGAAAGAAGTATTAAATTATAAATAAAATATTTAATACCCTCCCTGATGTATTTAAAACAATTTTACTTATTTTTTAAAATATATTTTGGGGTCATATTCTTCTTCTTTTTTTTTTTTAGTGATTTTAGAGAGAAAGAAAGGGAGAAGGAGAAAGAGAAACATCTATGAGAGAGAACATCAGTTGGCCGCCTCCTGCGTGTTCCCCACTGGGGATTGGGCCCACAACCTGGGCATGTGCCCTGACTGGGAATTGAACCAGCAACCTCTTGGTGCATGGGTCCATGATCAACCACTGAGCCACACTGGCCAGGCAGTGATACTTGACAATTTTTATTGTGAAATATACATTAATTATTGCAGAAAAATACCATTTGTACTATTTTTTTTGCATTATAGTATTTATTTATTTATTTATTATTTAATTAATTTATTTATTTTTGTTACAGATGTTTCTCCTTCCCCCCCCCCACTGATACCCCCTGCCGTCCCTCCCCGCCCTGTCCCCAGCTTTGTTGTCCATATCCATTGTTCATGCACACATGCATATAAGTTCTGTGGTTTATATCCTCCCTTACTCCCTCTGTACTATTTTAAAATACTTTTCTAATATTAAAATTATTACATTACTTAGTATAAATGTCAAAGTTTACATATTAAAGTTAGTGGGTGTTTTTTATTTCTAAGTGAATTTTCTAATTTGACAAAATGAACCAAATAAAAATAAATAAAATGAAATGAAAGTTAATTGTTAAAAGAAGTCATCAGTTAAACCTTCTAAAAGGAAGAGCAATTTATTTCTAAGGAGTCCATATAACATGACCAATCATTACTAGTAATGATTTCCCCATGAGGAGAGTTAAATTTTGTATCCATTCAGAGATATATACTTTTGGAAATAGTAAACTTGGGAGCAGAGAAACTCTTAAAAGTATTTTAAGTTTTATTATTTTGTTTACAAACATCTCAACAATATTTTTAACTTACCACTGTTCAGAATGTGCTCTGCTTGTATTTTATTTATATCTGGAAAACATACAAGATGATCATTCACCAATGGAACAATTATAATATAAAAAAACTATATCTATATGACATGAATATTCTATTTGGGAGAAACTGAATTAGTCAGGAATACGTAATTTAAAGGCAATAGAATAAAATCCTACAAAAGAGAAGAGGCTTAGCTACAAATTAAACTCTTCACTGACTATATATGTAGACTCTAGGAAAATATTGGTTAATGATTATAAAAACATTGGCAGAAAGAAGGATGTTGTTTGCCATGAAGAATTAATTAATTAATTAATTAATTAATTAATTAATTAATGCCATGCCAATTTATTAAAATATAAGCTAAACAGAAGAGGATCTAAGGCAACTTTTACATATGTAGTACCATTCTCCTCCGTCCTCATTCGCACAGTAGTGTTACCTTAAAGCCATTCAAGAGTCTTAAACACTTGGCATCTGAGGTCCACTTGGTCCACAGATGCTCCCTGTGGAATCAAAATCCACCAATACACTAACAAATCCTCAAATATGGTAGTCATTTTTTCATGAAGAAAAATAGAAAAATAAAGCATGATCAGTAGCTGTTCCCCACAATTATATGAATTCTTCCTTATGCCAAATAGTATAATGAGCAATCTAGACCCACATTTTTTTTACAATGAAAGTTAGTGTGAAGTTTCAGTAAATCTGCAAATTAAGGAGTTTTCAATGTAGGTCAGACTCTAAAGGGGAACATAAAATTCATGTGCAGATGACTATGGGTAGAGAGTTTATTACAGTAAAGTCCCTTAGGATTAAGTTTCATCAATAATAGCAGTCCTCTAATGCAGGAGTGGGGAACCTTTTTCCTGGCAAGGGGCATTTGGATATTTATAACATCATTCAACGGCCATACAAAATTATCAATTTAAAAATTAGCCTGCTATATTTGGTCATGCTAATTTGGTGAGACGTGTGATGTTAGCTGGTATTGATTTCATAGCCCTAATATGGCCCTCCGGCAGGATGTTCCCCACCCCTGCTCTCATGGCTTCTCTGGCCTTTAGAATAAACTGAAACATCCTACCTGGATATGCATGACATGGTCTCTATTTATGTCTATGTTCTCATGTTGAACTGATCTTGCTCTTAGCCAACCCATTTGCCACCTTGGCCTTCCAGGGTTTTTTTTTTTTTTTAAGTAATTTTTAAAATTGTTGCCCAAGAATATGTTTATTGATTTGAGAGAGCGAGAGAGAGAGAGAGAGAAAGACATTGATTGGTTGCCTCTTGTATGTGGGCCAACTGGGGACCAAATCTGCAACCTAGTTATGTACCCTGACTGGGAGTTGAACCCAAAACCTTTTGGTGTACAGGATATTGCTCAACCAACTGAGCCATACCAGCGAGGGCAGCCTTCCAGATTTTGTACTGTGCCAAGATGTTGCTGTCATTTCTTCATTCTAGCTGCCCCTTCTGCCAGGAATGTTCTTCCCTTTTATTTTTTGTGGTTAGTCCACCACTATCATTCAGATCTCAGCTTAAAAATCTTCTCCTCAAAGAGACCTTCCATGACAACCAAATCTAAATTAGACTTTTCTCTGCATGGAGTTTCATATTATTATTGGATTTTGCCTTGTTTACTGGATCATTTTCTGTCTTACCCCAGTTAGAATGTTAGCTCTATGAGGACAGAGAATTTAGTTCTTGGTATAAATGAACTCTCAATAAATACTTGCTGAATAAATAGATGAGCAGTAATGATAACTAATAACTTGCTAAGTACTATGTACCTGGGACTGTGACAAACATTTCACATTACTTACTTATTTTATCTTCACAATAATATTATGGGCCAAATCTATTAAGGACATGATTTAAATAGTTCTTGTGGCCAAAAACTTGTCCTGCAACCATTTCAGTTATAGTTTGGTGTCACCCTCTTTTTATGGATCAGTGAGAATGAGGTGGATTATGGTTATTTCACAGATAATTTTAGCCTAGGCTTATTACTATGTATGAAAAAACTGTTGATGAATTTTTATGATGGTACTATATCTCATATGTGAAAACTATCCAACAAATGTATTTACCTTTAGAATAAAAGAGGTTGAATGACTCAAGTCCTAGAAGAAGATTGTATAGATTCACTTTTCCCTGCTCTTTTCCTATACATATAACAAATTACTTCTAAAAATTATTCATCATATATAAAAGAACTCTGCAAGCTAGAAGGAAAAGGGAAGAATGGCTAGAGATTTAGGATTTGAGGGAGAAAAATGTGCTGAATTACCTCTTTATCTCATATATACTTTGGGCTGGAGACCAAGAGAGGCATGCAATCTGGCATAGGCAAAAAATCCCAAGAGAAGTCTTTACTCTCCATCCAAATCCATGTAAGAGAAAGCATAACAGGGACCTAGTGGGATCCCCAAACCTCTGCTTTACCACCTAGGCCTGGAATTCCTTCTGCCAGTGTAGTGACAGCAGTGAGAGCAGGGAGCCCCCAAACACCCAGTCCCCACTTCCCAACCAGGCCATCAGCTAGCAGACAGTACTGCAAGGGCTCTGAAAACTGAATTCTTATCAAAATGACTAAAGCGAGTGAGAATCTAAACCTCAAACCTAAACAGATCAACTACCTGCTAATACAGAATAATTAAATAGAATTGAGTGCCTCCTAATGTAATAACGAAAAGATTCAGAATATGAACAAAAATTACTTGCCATACCGAAACCCAGGAAAACAACAATCTGAAAAACAAAATGAAATCAACAGATGCCAATAGTGAGACAAGATGTTGAAGATATCTGATGCAGATTTTAAAGCAGCTGCCATAAAAATAATTCAGCAATCAATTATAAATTCTCTTGGAACAAGTGAAAAAGTAGAAAATCTAAGCAAAGACTGGAAATTATAAAAAATAACCAAATAGAAAATTATAGAACTGAAAAAAAAATACAATAACAAAATAGAACTTGCTGGATGGCCTTAATAGTAGAGTGGAAATGATGAGGAATAGAATCAGTGACTTGAAGACAAATCAATAAAATTTACTCAGTTTGAAGAACAGAAAGATATACACTAAAAATAATAAACAGTCTCTGATATCTGCGGGATGATAATAACACAAAATTTAACATTCTCTCTGGCCAGTATGGCTCAGTTGGTTGGGCATCATCCCGTGCACCAGGAGGTTTCCAGTTCAATTTCCAGTCAAGGGCACACACCCAGTTTTCATAATGGATCCCCAGTAGGGGGCATGCTGGAGGCAGAGATAGATGTTGCACTCTGACATCAATGTTTCTCTTTCTTTCTCTTCCTCTCTCTTGAAAAAATCAACAAGCTATTCTTTTAAAAAATGTTAACATTCATATTATCAGAGTCCCAGAAGGAAAGAAAAAGAGTGTAGAATAAAAAAAGTATTTAAGAATAATGGTTGAGAACTCTCCAAATTTGGCTAAAGACAGAGACCTACAGATTCAAGAAGTGGGCACATCTTAAATATAAAAAACTCAAAGAAATCCAAACCAAAAGACATCATAATTAATCTACTAAAAATTAAGAAAAAGAAATAGAAATAAAGAAAAACCATATATTACCTAAGTAATGCCAATTCAGTTCAAATACCAGCAATTTTTCATCTGAAACCATAAAGTCCAAAGGAACTGACATAGCATTTTTGAAGTTCTGAAAGAAAAATTATCAACAAAAACTCCTATATCAAGTGAAAGTATCTTCAGAAATGAGGGAGAAATAAAGATATTCTCAGATGCAGAGGAACTAAAAGAACTTGTTTCTAACAGATCTACTCTCAGATAATGTTTAAAAGAAACCATCCAAACAAAAAGCAAATGATAACAGAAGAAGGCTAGAACCAATAAAACATGAAGAAAGAGGCATAATGTGTAAAATTAGAAATAAACATAATAGACTGTCTTTTCCTTCATGAGTTTTTCTAAACATATTTTATTGTTAAAGTGAAAGACATAACATCCACCTGATGTTGTGTTGAATATATATGGAGAAAACATTTCCAAATATATCTAAAAAGTGGTGAGGATAGGTGACTAAATGGAAGTAAAGTTTCTGTTGAAAGGTTGACACCAGTAGATTGTTATTATATATACATATATATATGTAAATACCTAACATATATACATATATGTTAATACCTAGAGAAACCACTAAGACAACTTAACATAGTGATAAGCTAAAAAATATTAAAAATAAGTCAAAATGGAACTCAAAAAATGTTCAAGTCATGCACAAGGATGGAGGAAAAAAGGAACATAAGAATAAGACACAGAACAAACAAAAAACAAATCAGACAAAAAATTAAGAAGGATGTAGAACAAAACAACACCATTAACAGTAAGATATAATTGATATATGTAATATACTCCACCTAACAATAATAAAATGCACATTCTTCTAAAGTGCCCATGAAACATTCATCAAGATAGTTCTTAACCTGAGTCATAATATTCTGCACATTTAAAAGAAATTAAACAAAGTATGTTCTCTGTTTATAATGAAATCAAGATGGGAATCAACAATGGAAAGATAGGAGATCCCAAAATGGCGGCAGAGTGAATGGAAGCTACACAGACCATCTCCAAAAGCCAAACTGGAATTACAACTAAAATAAAGACAAATCATTGAGAAAAAGCAACAGAAAAGCAGCGTTCGTGGACCATATAACCAGGGACACTGAATCGATCCTGGTAGGATTGTGAAGGCATGACGGGGGCTGAAAGCCCACAGATAGCAGCGGTCTTAGCTGTGAGCATTGCCCTCAGAGTTAAAATCCCAAGCCTGCTCCACAGTGCAGAGGGCCAGGACAGAGCACTAGAATAGCCAGAGCCATTCACCTTGGGCTCTGGCAGAGGGAGGGTGGACTGGACTGGAACTGTGTGGGGACACTCAGAATTTGGAGGGCCCTCAGAGCTTTTGCTGAATTGTGGCCAAGAAGGATGGTGGCCATCTTACTCCTTCCCAGGGCTCTGGGGAGAGGGCGTGGCCCTTCCCA